CAAATATCACAGCAATCAGAAAAAGAAATAAACAAACAATCTGTATTTGCTGCTTAACAACAATCAGGGACACCCAAAGACTTTTGTAAAATAACTGTTCGAAGAAGAAAATATTGTCTACAAATTTCTAGAGCTCAAAAAGGCTAAAAATTTGCGAACAACCGTTTCACTCGTCTAAGATATTGGAGTTTTTCTACTGACTTACAAACGATTTTCGGGGAATTTCAGTAGAATCTTCTAATGAAAGTACGACTAACTCCATGTCCTCGAACTTTCAACCGGAGGCATGCTAACAGTTTCGGACCAAACGAAAACGTCACCTAAAAATTTTCGGGACGAACAAAGTTCCCTTAAGATTTCCGAACAGATAAATAGTTTTGAGGGCAACTACAAATTAACTAAACAGGTTTCTAAATCATGGCGAAAGCCATTTTAGACGCTTTTAACGTATTTGGAAACATTTCATCGTTGGGTGTCCCTGAACAATGGCCGTGAACATAAACGAGCAAAGCAAACCTTTCGTTAAAGAAAAAAATATTCTAAGTTACCTTGCAGATGGTCTGAAACTCTTCATTTTCCGGATCATAGCAGGCCAGCAGATATCCGCCATATGAACCAGTGCGCTTGCCTTTTCCCAAGTAACCGCCAATCACCACTACATCCAGTGTATCTCCTACACCAGTCAGATAATCTTTTTTCAACTGCAGTGGTAGGAAAAAGACATGGAATTATAAAATGGAAGAAGCTACAAACGGCTAAAGCTTTTCTTGATCGTCTTGCTACTGTCGGAACTAAAAAGGAATTAAATGTTTCGGAACCAATTCTAAATATCGATAAGGAAGACCTTTGCGCTTATTGCATCTTAAGTTAAGGCTACCATGTGTGCAGATGTTTGCCTTTATAACCTTCCTAAATGAAGCAAAGCTTTCTGTTGCAACGCTCGACAAAAAATTTGCGTGACGTAGAGAAAGCGGTTTAAGTCAGTTTAGCCTGCGTCCAAGGTCTCCAAGGTCCAAGGTCCAAGGTCAGAAAGGCTTCAGCTTGGATAGCTTGCAACAAAGTAAACGAGAAAAGTGTGGACCTGAAGACTGCTATGACAAACAAAGATCAGACGGTTTCGAACAACTGTGGAGTCTGTCGTACTCTATGGAAGTGAAACGTGGGCCCGGGCCAAGAAGATGGAGGAAAGTGTCGATGGATTCTACACCAGAATGCTGCGAACGGCCCTGAACGTGCACTGGCAACAGCCTATAAACAACCAGGAACAATACGGGAGCCTCCCAAGTGAAGAGTCAGTGAAAAATGCGGGAAGATTAAGCTGGCCATTGTGCTTGTCACAATGAAGAGACTGCTTTAAAAGTGCTGCTTTGGGAACCTCAACATGGTCACTCAAATCGAGGCGGGTGGACCTAAACGAACTTAGGACGCGTTGAACCGATTAACATGATCAATTGAATCAGATCAGTAATAAACTGAGGCTAAATATACATTATCATACAAATTTTTAATTTATTTAGTTTGGTTCGTTGCATGTGAAAATCGACGTTTGTCCCAGAGATTATATCTTCAGACGTTCTATCCGTCTGAAGCAGAATGATAGAACGTGATGGAAGATCAAAACTCATTCAGACGAAGTTAACTGAGCCAGACGTCGAACTTTTCATGAACTTAAATCACTAAGTTTGGTTCGTCTCAAGAAATGTTCGACGTTTGGCCTAGGCCTAAGGTCTCCAATGCTCGCAGTCTAAAACAGGCTTTGATTCAAACTCTTAAACTAACTTTGCCCGGTGTAACACACACAAATTAATTCACTGGTTAAGCGACATTCAAAGCTTTTTACCTTCAACCAGTTGTGAGAGCGTTTGGCAATTTCATATGTGGCGTCCACCTCAAGGGTTTTAACCATTAGGCCTTCACAATTACCTGACAATATAAACTCATTTAGAAAAAAAGGACATACACATTAGAACTTGTCAAGGACCAAGTCAGTTTTTAATGTCCCCTTCCATGAAAGTAGCCTTTGAATGATATGACAGTATGATATGACAGTAGTAGTATGACAGTATGGTATGACAGTATGATATGACGGTAGCAAAGTCAACACAACGTTGTTAAAACATTCGTCAAAACTCCACAGAGCAAGCAAAAAGGCTTTAAACGATATGCATAAGTCCTTCATTCTGCTGCCACGCATACATCCTACCTTAGCAACAAATTAATTAAAGTAGGATGTGCGAATTAATGATATGCTAAGAAAAACACACCAAAACTGAGAGCTATAGTGTAGCCTACAAGAATGTTCTTACCCTTGATGGAATCATCTAAAAATTCGCCAATATCATCAGTGTTTACTGAATCAGAACTCTGTGCAAACATGAATTCCTGTTATAGGGAACAACGGGGAGAGGATGTAAAAGACAAGATCATTTGTAACAAACTTTTTAACTCATCAGCAATAGACGAGCCTGGGGAAGGTGCCTGGAAAGATGGTGGATCCACAAGCACAAGCACTCCGCATGCCCGTGACGGGGGAGGCCGATGATCAGAATTGTTTCGCGTTTAGCTTAGCTTAATTTTCATTTAACTACATAATATAAATCATCAATTATGCTATCAAAACACGACAAGGCAACGAGAAATAATTATTATGTATATTACCTACCCCTTCAACTTCTGTGAATGAGGATCTTAATGCCTCTCTGCGAACACGAAATGGTTCTTTAATATACGACTGAAAAAGACAAAGTGAAGTTGAGTGTCACAAGACGTTTATAATGAAAGTTCTCGTAAGCGGACACCCTCGGGACGCAAAAAAGGTGTCCGTAACTGGAACTGGCCGCTTACAGGAATGTAAAAACATAGAGTTTGTATGGGAGTTGAGAAAAACAGGGTTTTGTGAAGGCGGCCGTAAGTAAGACGTCCGCTTCCGAGAGTGTCTGTTAGGAGAGCTTCCGCTGTATTCGAACACAAGCTTAGTTTTCCAGTGTATAGCACAGTCTTGGTATGTTCGCTCACATCTAGCAGATCTAGCTGAGTAAAATCTCCTCTCCCTTAGTCCCCTAGGAAGGCCTGATACCCAGGCTATTACAGATCCCAGAAGACGGAACACCAAAGGCGGAGTGATTTATAGTTTTTCAATCCAGCAGAATAAATCACAGCCATTTTCAACCAACATTTTAGCACACAAAACTTAGCAGCTGGAAAACTTCGATTAACTTTTGCCAGTTGCAGTCGATTTTTATTTTGGGCAGCTACAGTCATAGAGAATTTTGGTAATTTCATGAAAACAAAACAAAAAAAATGAACATTGCTTTAGATTTACAATTCAACAAGAGCGATTGAGAGAAATGAAGAGAAAATGAGAATGCTCTCTTGCATTAAAATACCCTTTCGACTTTTAAGTTGTACTATCAAAGAAGTTAAACTACGGGAGAAAGTTAGTCGCGAAGTGCCACGGCCTCTTTCCTACCTTTCCATTCAGATACAGCAAATCGAAAGCGTAGACACAAACTTGAACTTTAATCTCTGACGCATCAGCATCCTAAAGAAACAGAAAAAAAGAGAGAGCTACATTCATTTGTCGCCCCAAAACGCCAAACCTAGCAGTAGCTTCCACCAGATTCCAAATTGAACAAGGACAATACTTATACAAATAGAATACTACACTGTACAAGATCTTTATAAACGAAACAATAGCGCATTGTTCAGTTTCATGAAAGTGTTGATTTATATGAATAAGACTCTGAGTGGTCGCTTACGAGAACTTAAAAACCGACGAAAAATCCAGTTGGGTAATCCCTAGCCTCCCACGCAGGCGTTTTTAGGGGAGCTTGTTTTTCATCCCTCCCCACAAAGGAGGGGGATGAAAAACGAGCTCCCCTAAAAACGCCTGCGTGGGAGGCTAGGTAATCCCAAAAGTGGTCGTGGTTGCTTATGAGAGCATAGTCTGAAATGTCACAAGTCTCCACCCCGCATGAGGGGGTGGCGACGTATGACATTTCAGTCCAATGAGAGCTTTTCACTACAAAGTTTGCTAAGAAAACATTCTTTTCTTGAGGGTCTCCGCATTGGACTCGACTTTAAGCTACAATTGTAGCTCCAGCCAAGAGCTCATAATACAATCTCTTGCTCCGGCTTATTATAGAGAAGTCAGCCAGCTCTACGAGATGTACTGCCATAGTTAATTGAGTGGAATGGTTATGAAACCCGTCAGACTCCTTTGTTATGTTTTTGTGGACCTGAAAGTGCACAATGTTCAAAAGAATTCCTATCATTTTGATTGTATTGACCAATAAAAACGTTGCATTAATTTATTCCGTAACAATTTGCCAACACCGGGCCAAGAAGATGGAGGAAAGTGTCGATGGATTCTACACCAGAATGCTGCGAACGGCCCTGAACGTGCACTGGCAACAGCCTATAAACAACCAGGAACAATACGGGAGCCTCCCAAGTGAAGAGTCAGCGAAAAATGCGGGAAGATTAAGCTGGCCATTGTGCTTGTCACAATGAAGAGACTGCTTCAAAATTGCTGCTTTGGGAACCTCAACATGGTCACTCAAATCGAGGTGGACCTAAACGAACTTAGGACGCGTTGAACCGATTAACCTGATCAAGTGAAATCAGATCAGTGATAAACTGAGGCTAAATATACATTATCATACAAATTTTTAATTTATTAGTTGGGTTCGTCGCATGTGAAGATCGACGTTTGTTCCAGAAATTATCTTCAGACGTTCTATCCGTCTGAAGCAGAATGATAGAACGTGATGGAAGATCAAAACTTATTCAGACGAAGTTAACTGAGCCAGACGTCGAACTTTTCATGAACTTAACTCACTAAGTTTGGTTCGTCTCAAGAAATGTTCGATGTTTGGCCTAGGCCTAAGGTCTCCAATGCTCGCAGTCTAAAACAGGCTTTGATTCAAACTCTTAAACTAACTTTGCCCGGTGTAACACACACAAATTAATTCACTGGTTAAGCGACATTCAAAGCTTTTTACCTTCAACCAGTTGTGAGAGCGTTTGGCAATTTCATATGTGGCGTCCACCTCAAGGGTTTTAACCATTAGGCCTTCACAATTACCTGACAATATAAACTCATTTAGAAAAAAAGGACATACACATTAGAACTTGTCAAGGACCAAGTCAGTTTTTAATGTCCCCTTCCATGAAAGTAGCCTTTGAATGATATGACAGTATGATATGACAGTAGTAGTATGACAGTATGGTATGACAGTATGATATGACGGTAGCAAAGTCAACACAACGTTGTTAAAACATTCGTCAAAACTCCACAGAGCAAGCAAAAAGGCTTTAAACGATATGCATAAGTCCTTCATTCTGCTGCCACGCATACATCCTACCTTAGCAACAAATTAATTAAAGTAGGATGTGCGAATTAATGATATGCTAAGAAAAACACACCAAAACTGAGAGCTATAGTGTAGCCTACAAGAATGTTCTTACCCTTGATGGAATCATCTAAAAATTCGCCAATATCATCAGTGTTTACTGAATCAGAACTCTGTGCAAACATGAATTCCTGTTATAGGGAACAACGGGGAGAGGATGTAAAAGACAAGATCATTTGTAACAAACTTTTTAACTCATCAGCAATAGACGAGCCTGGGGAAGGTGCCTGGAAAGATGGTGGATCCACAAGCACAAGCACTCCGCATGCCCGTGACGGGGGAGGCCGATGATCAGAATTGTTTCGCGTTTAGCTTAGCTTAATTTTCATTTAACTACATAATATAAATCATCAATTATGCTATCAAAACACGACAAGGCAACGAGAAATAATTATTATGTATATTACCTACCCCTTCAACTTCTGTGAATGAGGATCTTAATGCCTCTCTGCGAACACGAAATGGTTCTTTAATATACGACTGAAAAAGACAAAGTGAAGTTGAGTGTCACAAGACGTTTATAATGAAAGTTCTCGTAAGCGGACACCCTCGGGACGCAAAAAAGGTGTCCGTAACTGGAACTGGCCGCTTACAGGAATGTAAAAACATAGAGTTTGTATGGGAGTTGAGAAAAACAGGGTTTTGTGAAGGCGGCCGTAAGTAAGACGTCCGCTTCCGAGAGTGTCTGTTAGGAGAGCTTCCGCTGTATTCGAACACAAGCTTAGTTTTCCAGTGTATAGCACAGTCTTGGTATGTTCGCTCACATCTAGCAGATCTAGCTGAGTAAAATCTCCTCTCCCTTAGTCCCCTAGGAAGGCCTGATACCCAGGCTATTACAGATCCCAGAAGACGGAACACCAAAGGCGGAGTGATTTATAGTTTTTCAATCCAGCAGAATAAATCACAGCCATTTTCAACCAACATTTTAGCACACAAAACTTAGCAGCTGGAAAACTTCGATTAACTTTTGCCAGTTGCAGTCGATTTTTATTTTGGGCAGCTACAGTCATAGAGAATTTTGGTAATTTCATGAAAACAAAACAAAAAAAATGAACATTGCTTTAGATTTACAATTCAACAAGAGCGATTGAGAGAAATGAAGAGAAAATGAGAATGCTCTCTTGCATTAAAATACCCTTTCGACTTTTAAGTTGTACTATCAAAGAAGTTAAACTACGGGAGAAAGTTAGTCGCGAAGTGCCACGGCCTCTTTCCTACCTTTCCATTCAGATACAGCAAATCGAAAGCGTAGACACAAACTTGAACTTTAATCTCTGACGCATCAGCATCCTAAAGAAACAGAAAAAAAGAGAGAGCTACATTCATTTGTCGCCCCAAAACGCCAAACCTAGCAGTAGCTTCCACCAGATTCCAAATTGAACAAGGACAATACTTATACAAATAGAATACTACACTGTACAAGATCTTTATAAACGAAACAATAGCGCATTGTTCAGTTTCATGAAAGTGTTGATTTATATGAATAAGACTCTGAGTGGTCGCTTACGAGAACTTAAAAACCGACGAAAAATCCAGTTGGGTAATCCCTAGCCTCCCACGCAGGCGTTTTTAGGGGAGCTTGTTTTTCATCCCTCCCCACAAAGGAGGGGGATGAAAAACGAGCTCCCCTAAAAACGCCTGCGTGGGAGGCTAGGTAATCCCAAAAGTGGTCGTGGTTGCTTATGAGAGCATAGTCTGAAATGTCACAAGTCTCCACCCCGCATGAGGGGGTGGCGACGTATGACATTTCAGTCCAATGAGAGCTTTTCACTACAAAGTTTGCTAAGAAAACATTCTTTTCTTGAGGGTCTCCGCATTGGACTCGACTTTAAGCTACAATTGTAGCTCCAGCCAAGAGCTCATAATACAATCTCTTGCTCCGGCTTATTATAGAGAAGTCAGCCAGCTCTACGAGATGTACTGCCATAGTTAATTGAGTGGAATGGTTATGAAACCCGTCAGACTCCTTTGTTATGTTTTTGTGGACCTGAAAGTGCACAATGTTCAAAAGAATTCCTATCATTTTGATTGTATTGACCAATAAAAACGTTGCATTAATTTATTCCGTAACAATTTGCCAACAGAAAACAAAGGATTGTGCGCTTTCAGGGTGCTTCCAACATAAACTGCCGCACTGTTGTTTTTATCATTGATGTTTGCCGCTTTTCATAACCAGTCTCCTCTGATAACTATGATACTGCCAAGAAAAAATGTAAATAATCAATATATACTGTGGCGTTACCTTTCGTTTTCTTGTGCTGAGAATCTGGAAAGGTAAGATTTGCTTCTTTTCTCTGTCCCATGCCACAGCTTCAGTATCAATAATACAGGACTTGACACCATCACCTAAAACCTGAATGTAAAAACAAACAAAACGTTAAGGTAATACATAAATGATCAAAAGCGCTTTACATTCTCTACATCTAATAAACGTAAAAAGGTGTTCTGGACAAGTTGTATCTTACAAATCTGATATTTGGGCAGCCCATGAGGTAAACTGTTTTCACATATGAATGTTCTCGTATGTGGCAGTTTGAAGACTTGTGTTTACCTAAACACACTAACTTTTGTGAACATGTATCAAAGGACTTGAGCTCCAAAGAGAACTAGTAACTGTACCAGCTTCTAGTAAATCTCCATCTTGGTGTGCTTCGACTCGTACACAGGCATTGTGGGAAGTAAGTCTAACAAAGGATTGTGCCTTACAGAAGAAGACCGCTTGGCTTAACATTGCCACTGTTTTCAGTATTCGCCACATGCTCTCAGCACAACGACTTTTGGGATTGTTTGGGTGGACAAACGTTACTTATGATTGGTTAATGGTTGCCTTGGATACCATCGACCAATCATAACTAAAGCTTGTCCACCCAAACGATCCCAGAAATCCTTGCACCGAAAAAGCTTGTACCCATTCCCTTTTTAGTTTCCTGACAACTTTGCCCGCCAGGAGTCTGGCCGCTCCATAGAGGTTCGTCTACATATTACACGTATTCACCTTGGGCATTCTTGCAGTGATATCAGGATACTTAGACGTGTTGTTTTCTTGGTTTCTGCTGTAAATGTGGATATCTCCATTTTCTAGTACATGAATCTAAAAAAAAGAAATAACAGATAATTTGTTCATTCGTTTTGCTCCCCTATCTTGGGCATATTTTACAGGGTTTTCAACCAGTAATCTCTATTTTACATGGCTGGTCATACGTAAATTCAATAACGATGATGTTGAGGAGGAGGAGGAGGAGGAGGAGGAGG